TAAAACTTGGATAATTAAACATATGAGTTTTTGATTATGATGGGTTTTTTTTCATTATATGGGAAAAGACACTTGGGTGTTCAGCAGGACGATAATCTGAGAAATACCAGCAAATTTCCATCTGAAAGGCTCAAAGGAAACTAAAAAAATGGTTCTGAAACATTCCAGTCCACGTCTCTGCAGTTGAACTATTGTGGCATGAATATAAACCGATGCTTCATGTTTGAAACCCCTCCTATAGGACTGAATTAAAGAAATTGTGCAAAAAACAATAAAGCAGAGTGTATGAAAAGTCTTTCTTTGGCAGGTAAAAATATACAAGCTTGATGCTTGGTGTTGCTGCCTTGCAGAGGATCTTCCTATGTCTAATTATTCTTTTATTTGTTTTTATATAAATTAAATTGACTTAATTGTCCCATTCATGCATCTGCATAAAGATTAGGAAAAAAAAGCCTGAATTAATCTTTCACTGCAGCTGAATGATCTCATGTTAGGAAATACAGGTGGCATTTCTGTCGTTTCCTCTCCAACAGTCCTTTATTTTCCCATTTAAGCATTACTTATACCTCTAACACTTCATAAGGTTAGAGCACGCTGATGCGCACCATTGTTCTGTCTTCTTTGCAGCACAGCCCACACCCTGTAGCATTTATGTTTAATGACTGTAAACATCAATAAAAGAAGGTTGATTATTTGTGCGTCGAAGCCTCTGTGTTGAGGATTATTATCCTCGTTACAGACCTGATGATGGCCCATTTGCTCTTCTCCAATAAAGCTGTTCTGGTCTCTCAAATGTAACATGATGCTAAGCTTCTGCAACAGTCTTGCCACATTTGGGAGGGATAGCACCGCAGCATCACCCACCCTCCACGGTTTAAACAATGGGTGTTTCTTTTTAAGATACTTAATCTCTTTGTTTTACAACTCAAACTTAGTGTGTTTGCTGCTAAAAAAAACAACATTTTTGCCTCATTTTAACAAACCTCACGATGCATTTGAAGTTCTAATAGCATTCCACAAACTATATGTTTATTTTACTGAAGAAAGAAAGAAAAAAAAACTTTGCTCAGCATACATCCCAGATTATTGGATCTTATCTAATCTATCATTAGTTCTCCAACTGTTATGATTGGTGTCTTTCTTTGGGTAAAAAGGCATCTGAGTTATTTTAACACAAATAAACATCATGCATTATTTTTTCATATCGATACAAAACTCAAAATTAGGCATAAATTATTCCAAAAATGTTCAGTTGCATTAATTTAAATGACCATCAAGTTGAGACAAATCAAGTTGAGTTTCAGAATATACCACAGAAAAGGTTAAATCAGTCAAAAGCTTTATGTTCATATCTTCACTCAGGGTGAAAACAATTTTCTCTGCATCTTATTCTAAAGTATTAAATTAAAATAGCTTTTTTTAAATATCTATAGAATCCATTAATAAAACCAAGTTTCATCTATTTAAATCATCTTCAAAATCAGACACCAAGAGTAGCTCTATAGATTGTGAAAGTTCGTTATAAAGTAATAAAATTATACTTTTATTGCAGTTTAGTGCCTTTTTTCTTGATACTTTTACATCTTTGTTTGACTTTGTCATATTTTTAAAAATGTAAATGAATTCTGACTCAGCAAAGGGGTATTTTGAACCTCCTGTATTATAAACATATCTTCTCTTCAAGATGCATTTCATCTAGAGTCCATTTGTACTAGAATAACAGCAAATAGCTGATCAGCATGAGAAAAATATGGGAAAATATCTAATAATTTTACTTAAACACAGGATAAAACCGTTTTGTTTTTTTACACCCTTCTGTGAGAAAGTAGCTAATGTGACTCAATAGTGACATCGTGTGGTCATTTGTGGGAAGACAGGAGTATTTAACCTATTAGAACCTATTTTTAAAACTGCATTTAAAGGCATAATGGAGGATTTTGGGGAATTTTTGAAAAGACCCGCCCTCTCCACTTTTTAAAACAAATGCACATGCACAACCCTGTACCTGCTCCCAAGAGGAACGCCTATTAAAGGCGTGCGAAAGGATGCACAAGCCCATTCTCCTCGTGCACCGTTTAAAAGTTGCTGCCTGCATCGCTCATACAAGCTTACTTTCCAAAAGAAGATTTGCAATTTGTCCACTATTTCACACTCACTATCGGTAAGTGAAAATGGGGGCGAGGACGTAGGACGGCCTAACGTAAACATATCACCAGAATGATCATCACTTATTTAGATGATCCACTTAGAAAAAGAAAATCCTCCACTATTCCTTTGCATTTTTTTCTAAAAAGCAAATAAACATCCCAAAAATAAAAGGTTAAAATATTAAAACCCTAAGAGGTGAAAACAGGTTAGTTTCTTTAAGCCTGCGTGGACACAGATGGTTCACCTTTAATATGGAAATATCAGCAAAAAATGATTTTACATTACAAGCACAGCTACAGTATATGACTCCGAGACTAATCCGTGTGAAGAAAAGAAAAAGTTAAAATTAAAAATACAAAGTTTAAATTTAAAAAAATGTACAGATATTACAAGGAAACGGTTGGATTTTAAAAACCAATGAAAGAAAGTGATTCAAACGAGACACAATCCTAAGAACAAAATGCACTTGGCTTTTAAGGTGGTATTTACATATTTATACATGCCTGATGCGATCATCTTTATATATACATGACATTTCAAAATGTAGAAAAGCTGCAGGAAGGTCCGTCGGCGAGACGCTGCTCTGAGGCCGTTTTCACTAACTTGGTTGCCAGGATTGGCAAACAGCCGAGGAAACGACATCGGAGGGGAACATTTTGCAGGTGATGCAGGGTTAACCGCCCTGCAGCAGGGCCAAGGCCGACTGTGTGCTGGTTAAAGCTGTTTTTTCCTCCTCTCAGCAGCTCACGAAGCGCGGTGGCAAACCTCCTTTTAAAAAATAATCCCCACAATTCAATGTCAGGCACAGATTTCTACTTTCTCCTTACAGCAGAGCCACCAGCGATCAGCAATGGCTTTAGTTGAGCAACTTCCAAAATGTGCCAATCTGTTTACGTTTGCATAGTCTCAGTGCGGTTTGTGTTTCTTCTTCTTGTGTTTTTTGTCCTTTTTCTTACTGGAACATTTGACACAGAACCACGGCTGGTCCTCCGGTGGCGGTGTTAGGATCCCGACGCAAGGCCTGAGCAAAAAGAGACGCGTTACAGAGAGAGAATTAGGCTGCAGTAATGATGGGTTTGACAACTGTAAACAACGTCCATGTGGTGCTTTTTTGTTTATGTTTTACGTTCCTGGAAATGTGAAATAAGTGCAGAAAAAAATGTCTAAAATCTGGAATCACAGATCCTCACAGTACATAATTTAAAACACTTTAATAGTTTTCCACAAATGATCGACTCCAAATCTGGTTTCTGGATTTTTGCTTCAATGAAATGGTTAATGCATAAAAGAAACAGTTACTTTATGTTTGGTTTTTAAATATGTAAATATGAGCTGTTTAAAGCATTGGATACATTTGTGTCGTCACGTTATTGTGAGGTTTGGGTTTGTGTACAAGAGGCTTGGAGATCTGCCTCTGCAGCAGCCTGCTTGATTTGTAATCTGTTCAGAGTATTTTGTTATTACTGTCTTTTAATATTCCTGAAAAAAACTGTAAAATATGGTTCATTTAGTATTTGTATATGTGAACTTAAAGACAATAAGATCATGTTTACCTCACCTCAGGGCTACAGTGGTCGCATATTTAACCTGAAACATCCTGAAAACATGAAAGGTCATTACAGAACTCATAACTGGATCCTAATTAATGAAAAGTATAAATATGGACCTTATTTGAGAAGGAAAAATTTTATATTGTGAGATTTTTTATCATAAATAATAAAATAATTTATCTTTTACTGTAATTTGATTGGAAATAGAAACCCAAATATTTAACTCAGCAGCAGACTGGTGCTGCAACTCTTTGAAATCTGTTTCCAAAGAGTGACCAATATCTTTTATTTTTACTTGTTTCTTTATGCTAAGCAGGTAAAAAGGGAAATTTATATATTGGTGGACATTAATTATTTGTAGCATTGATTTTTAGCCCATGTAGCTAATTTTTCTCCCATCAGCTCGGTCCAGATGTCGGGTTATTTGGTGTCCGACTCCGCCATACGTTCCTGATCCATAACCTGTTTCTCTGGTTAAAATGTTAAATTGTCAGGTATCTCCGCGTGTCCGTGATGTTACCAACCCTTCAAAGGTTTCTAGGGCCTTTAGAGGACAAGCAGGCCCACAGCACTACAGAGCCATGGCCCTACATGAACTAGGGTGCAACAAATGATTGTTTTGAAAATCGATTAATCTGTTGATTATTTTTTAAATTAATCGAATAATAATCGGATATCCAAAGGTTCCTTAAAGAAGACTTTTTATGAAATTAAACCAGGTAACTTTAAAAGGATTCCACTTGAGGAGTTCTGGATAGAGCATGTTGGCAGATGAAAAGTTTTTTTTTAATCTTAAATGCAAAATGTTTATTTATTTGGATTTGTCCATCAGCTAAAGGCACATTTTAGAGTCTCTATACTCCAGTTAACGATTAAAATGTGTAAAATGTGGTTAATCGATAAATGTGATTAATTAAATGAAACGTTTCAGCCCTCCTATAATGGTAGTAATCGTTCATTATGTGCAAATAAACTGAACTGAAGGATTCAGAATGAAGGCAACATTTTTAACCCACTTCAAAAAAAGAGCTAAAAAATTTATCATTTAATAAAATTATTACTAAAAAGCTTTTCCTTAATAATAGACCCATGGTTAGCCTTAAGGAGGTCAAGCTCTTACCAGTGATACCAGTCGTCACAGTCGTCACATCCAATCATCGGGCTGCCGTCATCCGGTTTGTTGCATCCGGGACAAATCCAGATCTGGTTTCCCCATTCATCCCGAATCTGCCACACAAACGCCAGACCGGATTAGGAGGAAGTGTCACCACAACCAAACAGCTGGCGCACGGATCCCTTAGATTCATGCAAAGTGTTGCAGAAGCTGCAGGGGAACAAGGATCCTGCAGGAACCTACCACATAGGTGCTGACGGTCTCCGTCACTACGCTGCGGACCGGCGTCTTGGCGGAGGGGGGCATCATGGAGGGCGGCGGGTGCAGAGAGGACGGCGGGGGAGGAGCGGGCGGCAGCGGGGAGGGCGGTGGCAGAGTGGGGACCACTGGGGGGAGCACTGGAGGCAGAGGCGGCGTCCGGGGGCGGCTCCCTGGACCCATTTTGGCAGCAGGAGCCTTGGTTCCTGCAGGCTTTGGCTCCGAGTTTGGAACCACTTTGCTGATGACGCTGAAGAGAAGTTAGCATGTTAGCATTAGCAGCAGACCTGAGTTAAGTTTGGAAACAATAACTAGATTCTCACAAAGATCATTAGAATCAAAATTAATCATTTATTATATTTTAATAATGTTTAAATAATTGGCAAAGCTGATAACTAGAATATATTTACAGGTTTGTTAGTGTGGATTGAAGGCATCTGTTTTATGAGGAAATATAAGCATGAATATAAGATTAATATTTAGAGAAATTTCTTGTACATGTATAGAAAAATAATCTAGAATACCTACAGGAATAATAATGAATACTTAAGAGATTTATGACACATATCAGGGCTCGATGTTAACCATCGCCCGATCTCCTGGGGCAAGTAGTTTTTATTGTTGGGAGAGTATAAATTTCATTGTTTTTGCCCGCCGGGCAAGTGCAAGGATCGCAAAAAAAAAATTATTTATCACTCAAAATTCGATGAAAACGACCCAGAAGCGTTGCCAGCGCCATTTTTGTTGTTTTGTACACTTCTTGCGTGATTTGAAATTTGATTTTCCGCTATATGGCGTGATTCAGCTCTTGGGGAGAGAATTCTGCAGAGCAGCAGCTGGATGATGAATTTAATCTATACTATAATACACGCTAGATAAAAATGATCAGTCAGGGATTAGGAAAATAATAATAATAATAATTGTATGCGCACAGTGTAAATATTTCTATCATATGGCAGTCTTCTGTGCAGTGGTCATACATTAAAAAATGTTCATTAGATTTTTTTCTCTTAGACATTGGAGTGGTGCATTTAAATGTTATAGAGCTAAACATGTTAAATTGGTGAGTAGTAGTAATGTAAGTTTTTTTTTTTTTGATTTTTAACATTAGAATTTATATTTTTCCAAGCACACAACAGTTTAAAGCAAAGTTTAGTTTGAAAAGAATGAGCAGGAAGGATTGAAAAGCATGTTAACACGGTAATGTAGGCTTGAGTTCATTATCTGACGCATGCAGATACACACCAGGAACCTGGACACTTACTGAATTACAAAAAAAACATTTAAAAAACAAACATGTTTCATTGATATATAAACAAAAATGAATATTAGGAACTATATTTATCAAACATTATACTGGCCAAGTAAAAATTGTTTCTGGGCAAATGAAATGTGAAAGTCACTTGCCCAAAGGGCAAGCGGGTTGCATATGACTCTAATCAGTCATATGCAACCCCTGCAAATGACTGATTAGATCATGAAAACCCAGAGATGATGCAGTAGATCTGTTGGATGGCGATGCAGGTGAAAGCAGGTCGCCCTTTCAGCCGGGCATACACTGTACGATTTCTTGCCATTTTCGGGAAAAATTCTCCAGTCCTGCGACAGTTTCAGCCTGATCGTACATCATGTAGCAGTGTTTATACAGGAATGCTTTTTTAATGCTCTTAGAACTACTTTTAATGCCATCAACAGGTACATATGGGTCTCATATATATATTTAATACTGGAAAATCCTTCGTCTCTACGGTCGACAGGCTGCAGCCGTGTCCCGAATTCCTCGTTTTCCAGCCAATTTTGTTGCAATTTGCATTCATTACATCGGGCTTCCAGATCAACCGGAAGCAGTTCCACGCAAACATATTGCAATATAATATATATGAAGAAACAGTTCTTATAAACGTGTTTTTTTTTAAATAAAGCATTTTAAATTCCACGATAATCAGATTTAATGAATTTTAATGCCAATTAAGGCCTTAATTTGAAAAAAAAAAAAAAATTTAATGACTTTTAATGATTGTTAATGACCCACGGAAACCCTGTGTATGGTAAAGGGGGTAACGAGGGGCGATCAGCCTCTAACGACCACCTCCTGATCAGGAATCGTAAGGTCAGGAGAAAATCAAACATGTTTGAAATTCGGTCGGCCGTCCTAAGGCGTTCATGGGCAAATCACTAAGTGGGCAAACATGGATTCTTCTTCGAAAACACAGAAGTGACACGAGTGAAATGGAGTTCTTCAGGTAAAATTGACAGACCATCGTAGGCATGTTTGCTCATTGGAAAAACGTTCAAAAAATAAGTAAAATGTCTTAAATTAAGTGTATTTACCCTAAATTTGAGTACATAAATGAGATAGTTTGCCAATGGAATTGGTATTTTTACTCTTAAAGTAAGATAATTAGATAATAAGCACTTGAAATAAGAGAATGCCATTAAGTTTTCTTACCGTATTTTAAGTGTAAAGGCCAATTTATGCTTCTGATGCATAGCCTCTGCAACCATCAAATCTGTCTCAGTATCTCAAAGAAATCCTTTCTCTATTCGGCATCGGGCTGCGTCGTTTTTAAAAACCGAGGAACAACTACGACCAAAGGTTTATCAAGGAGGTTCGAAGTACAACCACTTGTACGATGCTTCAGACAAATTATATCAAGATGCCAAGGTCTCTGCCAAAAATGAAGTTCTCGGGACCATCTGCCGAAGTTCTCGCGAGAATAGGTTCTCCCTTGCGCTTTGGCGGGAAACTGCTGTGCGTCCCTAAAAATTCCAGACCGACAGTGCAGAAGCATACCAGCTAAACTGATTCGTGACCAGACCCCAGTTACATTTGATGTGTTCGGTTGCAGAACTCTAATCTGCCCTTAAACTGTCTTGTTCCATTGGCAAAATGTCTCTTTTACTTTCTCAACAAATGCACCTATTTTAAGAAAAAATGACTTATCTAGATTCCAAATTTTTCCAGTGCTCATTAACCTGACTCCGCCACATGGATTTGCTCCGCATATCCATGTGGAAAACTTCTGTTGAAGTAATTTTGGGAAGGGGTGAAAATACTGGTTAGCTGATTGGCCTATGTTGGTGATAGACGGGCCAAATAAACCAATCAGATCAACGAAGCATATGACGTACTAACAGAGCGACGACGAAAAAACACAACCACAAGCCAGGCTACTCTTGCCGAAACCAGTCGGGAGAAGAGCAAAACCATCTTTTCCTCTGAGAAAAGCCTCCAGAGCAGTGTTTTGCTCTTCTTTCAGTGAAGAAATACTCTGTAATTCCGATAAAACTTGCTCGATAGCCACGCTAACGCTAGTTTCATCGGCTGAAGCCGCCATGTTCTTTAGACTGAACTGTCGCGCTTCTCGTTGCGTCACACCTCAACCCGCCTCAAAGCCAACGCTGATTGGACGTTCGTTTGGTGAACGGCTCCAAATTTTCTTTAACGGAGAGTCTCCAGACTGATTAGCGAGTGAAACCTTGAAAGCTCGCGAGATCAGGATGGTCTCACGAGGCTAAGTGCTCATGCCTTTGTCCAAATATGTCATCGGCTTACGTTTCACTCTAGCAAGCTTCATATTTTAACAGGAGGCATTGAAACTTTCGTCTTTTCCCTCTTCTACTCGTTTGGCTTCCTGATAGACGAGTCCGAGTAGCTCCATCTCACTGCGGAGCTGTGCCCGACGTTGCATGAGCCGGTAGATCGCATCAGAGCGTCGGGCCACACAGTGTAAGAACAAACGTTAAACCCTGCGATTTCGTCACACATTGCGAGCTGTAGCTGCGTACAACGATGAAAAACAATCGTACAGTGTATGCCTGGCTTTAGTTGACAGAAGTCCTGCAAATACTCACTGCAGGACTTAACAGAAAGTTAAATGGAAGGAAAAAAGGCCAACTATTGAGTGCGTGTACTGACCGGTATGTGGACATGCATTCTGGAACTTTCTGAACCGTTTTTCTTTAATTATCTGTAAGCTTCAATCATTAATAGGTTATTCTGTTTCAGCTGTAATGGTTTGCATTCCACTGCGTTGGCTGGTTAGTGAAAAGGAAAGATGATGGATGAATTGTGGGAAAGATGAGCAGACTTACATCTTGTCCTGACCGGCTCCCACCCTGAGGGTCAGCCTGGGGATGACCGGAGACGGAGGGACGGCTGGAGTCTCCATCTTTACCTGAGTCCACAGCAGGATGGGTTAATGCCAGAAAGAAGCGATAAAAAAACAAACAAACAACAAACCAAGGCTTACCTTCTCCATCCGGATTTTCTCCTTCTCCTTTTCTCTCTCCTTCTCCCGTTTCTCCTTTTCTTTCTCCTTCTCCTTCCTTTTCTCCTCCTTCTCCCTCTCTTTCTCCTTTGCCTTCTCCCGCTCCTTGTCCTTGTCTTTCTTCTTCTTCTTCTCCTTCTTGTCTTTCTTCTTCTCCTTCTCCTTGCTCTTCGCCTCCTTCTCGTGGAGGATGGGAGCCAGAGACGGCAGCATGGGAGGCATCCGCAGGCAGGTGGATGGGCTGAAGAGCGGCGGGATGTCGCCGAGCGAAAAGGTGGACAGAGCCGACTGTTTCTGCTTGTCCTCCTTGTTCCTGTCCTTGTTCTTCTCCTTCTTGTCTTTGTCCTTCTTGCTTTTCTCTTTGTCCTTCTTCTTGTCTTTGTGCTTCTCCTTGTCCTTTTTGGAGCCATCCCCGTCTCGTGATTTGATCTTGATGGAGCCCTCTGGCAGAGTGAAGTCTCGCGGCATGAAGAGGTCTTCCTCCTTCCCTCCAAACTCCTTGTGAAAAGGAATATTCATCTCCTTGGGGAACTCCATTTTTTTGGCCTTGTTTTTCTCCTTGTTCTTCTCCTTGACTTTGCTTTTGTCTTTTTCCCGATCTTTCTCCTTCGGCTTCTCCTTCTTCTTCATCTTGGTTTTAAGCTCCTTCTTCAGCTTCTTCTTCACGTCGGGAGGTGGAATAATCTTGCTCTTCTCAAACACCTTGAGCAACGGCTCGGGGGTAGGCGGCGAGGCTGATCCCGACGATACGTACCCGGCTGGGATGGCAGGCGGCAGCGGCAGAGGAGGAGCGGCGGCGGCGGAAGGGCCGCCCTGGTTGGCTCTGCGCACCACCTCGTTGATCGAGTCGTCCAGGGTCCAGTTTCCCAGACCTGTATGCGCGTGTGGGTGAAGTGGTGTTGAAGTGTCCTTTATAAACGGCCCGGCGCCGGGGGGGCCCTTCGGCGTGGACGGCTCCATGATGGTCAGCCTCCTGGGGCTGGAGAAGCCGTTGCTGTCGGAATCAGAGCCAGATGAGAAGGCGAAGGGATCGGGTTCGCGCTCGGCGCAAGCCCTAGCGATCACGGCGGCGATGGAGTCTTCGATGGCGGTGTTATCCGGCTCCAGCTTCTTGAAGGATCCTTCGGGGAACTGCAGGTCCTCTGCGGCCGGGCGCAGGTGGACGTTGTCCTTCCCCATCCTTTCGCTCAGCGCAGGCAGCGGCAGCTTGTGCAGACTTTCCGCTTTGATCTGAGGGGGGGGTGCTTTAAGGGCGCTCAGCTTCGGACTCTTCGGGCTTTTCGGACTCTTGGTCCGGCCCGGGGATTTTTTCCGCTCCTTCGGTGGTTTGGGAGAATGTATGGGACTGCCCCCGACCGGAACTGCAATCCCCCCCTTCGGGGACTTAGTCCGTTGCCTCCCAGGAGATGAGACTTTAGGCTTCCTAACCGGGGTGGTCAGCCCCTTCTGATCCGAGTGCTTCGGTACCGCCGGCTGAGGCCTGAAAGGAGGCAGGACTCCCGGCGGCGTTTCCGGGGACAGGGCGTCCAGGCTTTCGTGGGACGGCAGGATGCCAGGCGGGACACGCTGGGAGTTAAGAGAAGAAAGAGGCTCCCTGGGTTCCACCCCCCACTCTGGGCTCAGTCCAGGGTACATGCGCGGCCTCTTGGAGGCCATCATGCCCAGAGCCGCGTCCGGACTTTCCAGGTCCCTCTTCAGTGGGTGGTTCTCGTCGTTCACCATCTCATCTTCATCCATTTCATCCTCCTCTTCCTCCAAGGCCACCTGCATCGCCTCAGCCGAGGTGCCCATGTCAGGAGGCACCTCCTCCTCCTCCTCTTCTGCTGTGCAAAGACAAAACAAACCAGATAAGCAAATCCCCCAGCTATTGAACACCTCATCAGCCAACTTACACTTCAGTACAACTCAGCTTTTATACTTCATGTACAGACAGAGCTCAGAACAGCTTCTCTAAACACACGAAGGTGTTATAAACACAGATTGGTAAATTGAAGGAACATCTGTACCGGTTTGAAAAGCAAACACAAACCTTATCAAAGGTATTTCAATCAAGATAAAAGAGTTTGTTAAATGCTAGGGGGGAGCATTTTTCACATTTCTGGTCACAAATAATCAGATTCAAGGCCTGATCAGATCAGAAAGCTTTCATGTAAACAAGTCAGACTGAAGAGACTAATCCGATTCGGTCTGATCGGAAATCAGGTTGTCATTCCGTGTAAACACCCATTCAGATCTTTGGAGCGCAGTATGCCTGGCTTAACTAAATGAGCATCTCTATTGGATAATGTCTCCCACCCCATGCATGAAGCTGGTGCTGAACTGGAGAGCTCCTTCAGTGACAGACTGCTGCACCTTAAATGCACCAGGGAGCGTTATCACAGATCCTTCCTCCCAGCAGCTGGAAGACTTTAGATCCACCACTGTTCCCATCAACCTCAATTAGTTGCTACATTTATGCTGATTTTTGCACAGTTTCTACCTTAGTCAGTTAAATAACCTGCTGCTGTCATTTTGCACATCTCTGCTGCTGCCATTTTCAAATATCCATTATTGTAAAAATATCCATAGCTGCATATTGGTTATTTATTCTACAGGTGCACAGTTTTTATATTGTTAAAATACTTTACAGTACAGTATTTTATTGTTTATATTTTAACTCTTCACTAGTGTGTTATTCTTATACTATTTTTCTAAGGTGCATATTTGTGTGACCACTTTTTCTATAATATTTTTGCTGTTGTTAACACCAGAATTTCCCCATTGTGGGACAATAAAGGGATTTTCTTTTCTTTTAACTCGGAAGGGCCCAATTGGATCAAATTTATTGAAACAAGACAAAACTGTGTTCTCTGACAGTAAACAAGTCAGTCTGTCGAGAGAGAAAGCTCTAGGTGAAAAGGAGTCGTCATTGGCTATTGAGGGCCAATTAAACTAATTGAAATACTTTTGCCTAAATTGCCTAATTTAATAATTTCCAATCTGGTTCAAAGTCAGCATGATTAACAAACATGTACATTTCTTTCAGGGTTAGTTTACCATAAAGCTTGTTGAGTTTTGAATACATTAAGACCTCCAAAAATGCAATTTATTCATCAGGAACACTATAGATACAAGAGGCTTTCGCTGCTGAGGCCTCAAAATGGATCACCTTAAGCTGCTAAAGAAACATGGCAGGTGGCAGTGTGACGGTCAGCGGTGAAGCCGAATAGAAACACTTTGGTTATGCTGAAGGAAAAAAGGATCTGAAGCACGATGCCGCGTGGTTTGGGAGTGGCCTAGTCAAAGTCCAGCTTATTAAAACATTACCCAAAAAAAAGGCCAAATATGACCTACAGAAATGAATGACAATGCCTGGCGGCAGACTTGAACGTCCAAGGTTAGCACAACCAGTTAAAGGTGCTGTAGGAGATCTTGGAAAAATGGTTCCAGCGAGCTAAATTTTTGAACATACACAACCATGCCTCTCCCCTCAGACCAGCCCTCGAAACGATGCCTTCAAAACACATGAACGCGCATTCTGTCTGCAGCGCGTTTAGAGCAGCAGGAGCAGCTAGTCGCTGATCTGGGAGCTGGCAGGGAGACAGACACAGCACTGATGATGCAGAGCGCTATGATCACTTAATTAACGCCTAAATTAACTTAAAATGCCAAAATTTGCCGGGAAAACATGTTCACTTTTATTCTCCTGGTGCCTGCAGTTTGGTTTACGTACATAAAAAACGCCTTCCAGCCTCCGCAGCAAACCGTGAGGAGGCGACCGGGCCAGAGGCTGCTGTTGAATGGGATTCCTAATGACAGAGCACCGCTGGTGTACACGGTCTGAGCGGCTCCGACAGAAATAATATTTGAAGGCAGGATGGTAATCTGGATGAACTGACTAGGGGTGGAACGGTTCACAAGATCGACCGTTCGGTTCACGGTTTTAGGTTCGGTATATGTTGATTGTTAGCCTGACATGTTGGTCGTGTTGCTGTTAGCATAAAAAAAATGTGTTGCACGCTGTTGCACTTTTATCCACAACTTTCTTCCCGCCGTCATGGTAGGTCACTCTAAATGCAAAGTGGTCCCATACAGCAGACCTATAAAGTGCTGCTGGCGCGTCTTCCAACTCCTGTTCTTTC